TATTTGAGCGGGAGTCGGTGAGAACGTTAAGCATCATGATTCATTTCGTCGATGCGATTCACTCATGCGCAGTGGATGACATTCATCGGTAGTGTGAGTGCCTTGCATACGAGGACAGCGATAACCAACAACTCTCTCCTTAATGCAACTTGTCTACGCCATGGGATGGTTCATCCAATGTTCCTGCTATTAGTTTCCTGTAAACAGATGTTAACTCCATCCGGTAGACACAAACGGTGGTTCGTTTGCTCTTGCAGGGTTCACTGGTGTGTTTGAAAATGGCGAAGACGGAAGCGCCGTTGATTTTGGGGCTTGGGGGATGAGTTGTTGCCGGAATGCTAAAGCCAATAGATTGTCCCAGTTGAAAATTCCTTTGGAGTGTGCATGTTTTGTTGATACTTATCACTTACTTTTGAAAAATTCGAAAATAGAAAGGGAATGTGACATGGTTCGCAAAGCATAAACAGACGAGTATTAGCGCTGTGCAGACGAATGTCTGTCTGCTAGATGAAATTGTAAATCAACAAGAATCATCACCGTCTTCCTCATTATTCCTATCGTTTAGACAGACTAACACTCGGGTTATAATTAAAGTCAGGAATCAAAACCGTCTTGCACTCAGACCCAGTTCAGGACATCAGCGGGCCAAGAATGCCCCTGTAATTAACTGAAACTGTTGTCTACATATGTTGGGATATTTTCGCGACGAGGAATAATACAAATTTTATTTCCGCTGGCTCGCTGTGACTCAGTGTGTCTATAATTTGGGCCGCAAAACAGGGCCATGCGACCTGTCCATCATCCTGAAGAGAGAGAGACTAGAATTCAGCTAAGGTGCCAACATCCGCAATCGACTTCCAACTTCCTCCACAGACCACCTCACCCCATAATCGACGCTTTTATTGAGAACAGAATCGTGGGAGCAGAATAATCGCTCACAAACCGACTGCTTTGACTAGTAAGAATGTAAAATTTATTCAATATGAAAAATATAGAACAACGAACTTAATCATGGAAATATTGTCCATCGTTTTCTATAACCTTGTACTATCTCTCAGGCAGCGTACGAATGACGTCGCGAAAGATGCTTGCAAGCTTCGAGGCAATAAAGTAATCATCGACGAATTCACACATATCTTCTGGCGTTTTGAACTCTTTATCCAAAACAAATGGTGGTCGGACTGGACTAAATCTGGTGAATATGCCGCTTGTGGGAGAAATTCCCATCCCAAGTTCAAGAGGGTCTTATGAGTAGCGCGAGCTACGTGAGATTGAGTGATGTCATGCAGCGGCAGTTT